CGGTTCCTCTTAGGCTCATGGCCGAGGAACTTACTACCTCGGACCTCAAGAGTCCGATACATTACAGTTCCCCTCAAGCTCATGGCCGAGGAACTTGCTACCTCGGACCTTAAGAGTCCGATACATTACAGTTCCTCTCAGGCTCATGGCCGAGGAACTTACTACCTCGAACCTCAGGAGTCCGATACATTACAGTTCCTCTCAGGCTCATGGCCGAGGAACTTACTACCTCGGACCTCAAGAGTCCGATACCTTACAGTTCCTCTCAGGCTCATGGCTCATGAACTTACTACCTCGGACCTCAAGGGTCCGATACATTACAGTTCCTCTCAGGCTCATGGCCGAGGAACTTACTACCTCGGACCTCAGGAGTCCGATACATTACAGTTCCTCTCAGGCTCATGGCCGAGGAACTTACTACCTCGGAACTCAAGAGTCCGATACCTTATAGTTCCTCTCAAGCTCATGGCCGAGGAACTTACTACCTCGGACCTCAGGAGTCCGATACATTATAGTTTCTCTCAGGCTCATGGCCGAGGAACTTACTACCTCGAACCTCAAGAGTCTGATACATTACAGTTCCTCTCAGGCTCATGGCTGAGGAACTTATTACCTCGAACCTCGAGAGTCCAGTACATTACAGTTCCTCTCAGTCTCATGGCCGAGGAACTATGTGCCTCAGACCTCCAGAGTCCGGTACATTACAGTTCCTCTTAGACTTATGGTCGAGGAACAACATGCCTCGGACCTCAAGCGTCCGGTACAATACAGTTCTTCTCAGGCTCATGGGAGAGGAATAAACATTTGCCTTCAGACCTCAAGAGTCCAACTACGTCAAAGTTTCTTTAAGGCACAAAAGTGCCACGGAACAAAATGACATGAACATTACCTCGAACTCAAAGAAATCGACGGTTAAAATTTTCATATCAAATCCTCTGAAGCACAAAGCAGTGCTGAGGGTAAAAATAAATTACCTCAAAATGCTAATCAGGAAAGTTGAAGCTAATTGCTCAAGAAAAACACTATATTGATCTCCAAGATGATCATTAAAAATGATCACCATCATTATTCATTAAGGTTAGTCACCCAAGCTAATCGTCAAGAGTGATCGCCGTCAATCTGAAAAAATGAAAGCACCAATAGCTTGAACAGAAGAAGGCTCAACATAAGACGTCACCTTTGAGCATGGGGGCACCTCAACTACAACCTCCTCGAAGCCTTGATTTTGGGTCTTCATATTTTCCAAGAAGACAAATATAAGTCACTGCCTTCAAGGCATACTTCTCAATTTTTCAATTCCCTCTAGTTATGGCTGCCACGTCAAACTAAAAGGAATTGGGGGCAAACTGTGGAGGGAAAAAATCCCCTCCAATGAGCATTGAACACGTCATCACTATATAAATCTACATTTGGTAGCTTTCAGAAGCCCATCCGGATCAAACCCAAATTGAGTTTGATACTATTCCAAGTTCACTGTTCACAAGCCAAATACTATTGTTATTTGACCTTCAGCCCTGTTGAAGCCCGGATCAAGAGATTATTAGCCCAACATGTTAATATTAAACATCCGGCCCGTTATTCAAGCCCAACTGATTCAAGGTATATTCAGCCCAGTTTTCCAAGATTGAACAAGTCCTATCGGTAGAATGATTTGTCATAAAAGGAAAATTCTTTGATAGGAAGTTCTATACAAGGCAAGTTCTGCGTAGGAAATATTATATAATAGAAAGAACTTTATTTGTAAAGAAAGTCATGTATGGGAAGGATTGGAGGACAAGCAACGCGAGTCCCACCTTAATTCTACCAATTTTTGTGTATAAATAGAGGCCCAGACCTCCAATAAAAGGATCCAAGCAATTCTACTCTTCTATATACACTGTTCTTATTTATTTTTATTGCTTTTTTAGTGAGTTGTTTTATTTTTCTCAATCATTATTGGTTAAGCGAAATTTTGCACCTACCGAGCCTTTACCAATAATCATTATGTACATAACCAACAAATAATCAATATGTATAACTAAGTTACTTAACTAGGGAAAAAAAAAAAAAAAGAAGTTACTCCCTATCAATATATATGAGCAATCCTCTGTTTTAGGAAAGAGTAGAGTTAATTCTTCTCCTTAAATAGGGGGGAAGCATAATTAGAACTCCAATACACCCAATGAAACACATAAACTAAATACAATAATTGACACATTAGAATCAAAGAACAGAAAATAAAAGGTAACACTACTGAGTGTTATATATTAGACTATTAGTATAGGAAAGATTGAGAAAAAAATAAATAAATAAATAAAAGAAAGTGGTTAGTCGAATTGAAATTACCAAGCATTTCATACCCTAAAAAACTATTTTAACACAACCCCCATATCAACAGTATATAACTCGGTCCAAGATGGACACAGATCATTGACCATTAAATTTTGAAACCACATTGATCTTTTATTCATTTAAAAATTATGGACTGAAATATATATATAACCAAAATGTACCTAACTTTTGAAAAAACAGAGATCAACCCTTTACTTTTACCAAGTCTGCCATGAAAAGAAATTAAACAAACTTTTGAGTTTAAAATGTGTAATAAATGGAGAGCTAACGAAATAAAAACAAAATTTTCTCTGATTGGCATATATTCACTTTACATCCATTATACCAGTCAAATCTCATACAAAATGTGTAGTAATGGAATAAAACAAAAATCTCCGCATATACAACAGAGAGTCACTGTAACTTCCAGGTTACCCATTTGACACACGAATGAACATATATCCATAGAACTAAGTTAAGTCTCAGGCACACTGCTTCTAAACTTCACAATGGTTTTCTTAATTTTTTCCTTCTGTTTCTTTTCATACAATTTATTTTCTCAGAAAAATTTCTTCCCTTTCCGATTGAGCATCCAACTATGATAATTCTTCTGCTGATAGCAAGGATGAAACACGAAATTGAATAGAAATACAGGTACCTCTACACATGCAGATTCAACACAATAAACACAAAAAAGCTGTATAAACTTGTAACCATAGTGCTTAATTATAATTCAGTTTTCACACACACACAGACCCATTACAACAGGATATATATATATGTGTGTTTTCCTTAATGTAGGATATTCAGTGTTTGTATTCTCGTACAAACGAACATGACAATACACATGAAATTATACAGAATTCAACAATACCCCTAGACAAAAAATAAATTATTTCAATAGGAAGAGAATGACCTTTGTGGTGTTGTCTGATAGTAAGTTTCCAGCATTGGTCTTGGAGGGAGAAATGATTTTCTCAACCGAAATTCGATTCAGAGAACAAATCAAAGCCCTAAAGGAAAATACAAAGATAACCGGAAAGTGATTTTGTTTCACGGGTGCAGTGTAGTGTTCCGTTCATAATAATTTTTTTTTTTGTGATGGTGGTTTTTTTTATTATTATATCAGTGAGACTAAATTTTTAAATTTATTTTTTTCTAAAAGTACCGGTAATTAGTGTATTTGTCCTGTAATTAGTATACTACTTGTTTAATTAATAAATAATTTAAAAGATAGTTTAGAAAAGTTATACTATGTATTTTGAGACATTATAAACAAGAATTTTGGGACTGAATTTTTTTTTTAAAAAAAAAACGTATACTTTGAAGGCTTGGCTACAGTATTTGTTTACCAAATGTTTAGATAATCTATAAACAAAACAAAATTTATCAAACATGTTTATCTTTGAGAATGGCTTTTATTTGGAGGTTGAAACTTGGGAGAAAGAATATGCTGATTATATTTTGGCTCGTGATATGGATCCATTACATTTACAAATCTACCACTTATGTAAAACCCATTTTGCAATATGAGATACATAAATTAGATTTATAAAGGATAACATGTGAAACACTATTTCATTTTATTGATCATAGACACTATTTCGATGATTCATTTGCTTACACATAACTCCAAAAAAAACGATGAAGATTGGTCAATTATTTACCGACTGACTTCTCATGTTTCTCTTTATATGTTCTTTCACATGTAATCTAGAGAGACGTGAAACATTATTTACTTACCAAATTTCGATGAAAGATTGAAGCAATTCAGTAAGGATTCTTTACCAACTATATATGAGTCATTTTTTTTTTTTAATTTAAAGTATCATATTTTTTTTACAAACAATAATGATTTAATGACCTAATTCGGTTATTACCGAATTTGATTTATGTTAGTGTAGCGGTAGGCTCAACGTGATGTATTCGTCATGTGATTAGACTCACTACCCACTCATATAAATTAAATTCAAACTAGATTCGGTTCAAAAATAATTGAATATACTAAAAATTAAAAATATATAATATCATCGTTGGGCATGGCCAGTAGTTCAATTGTCCAGCATGCTAATATTCTATGGTTCTAATTTTATTTTATTTTATTTATCGTGGTAAAAGACGCCCACACTTACTTAAGAAATCTTCGATATGATTTTAATTTTAATCTTAGATGTCAACTAATTATCCCTCAAAAATCTTGCCGTGATATTTGATAAAAATTTATGTTAATTTACTGCTAAAATTATAAACATTGTTTCCATTCCTTTAATACCCTCATCCGCAGCATGGCTAAATTTCACTACGTCGGTATCTGGGCACCGTGCAGTGTACTAATTGGGGAACATTCAACTTTATTTATTTTACAATTCAAACAGTTATCTGTGAAAACTGAAAATTATAGTTCAGGATTAAATACAATTAAGTCTAAATAAAATTGGGATTCAAAAAACATAGATAAATAATAATAATAATAATAAAATAAAAAAAAAAAAAAAAAAGAGAGAAAATGACGCGAAGGAAGGGAAAAAAAACATGGATAAAGGATACAAAAGAAAAAAGAAAAGAATACACAATTTTTATTAATTTTATTGACATGAATGTTGTATTCCAAGGGAAAAAAATCGAATTATTTTCATTTAATTGAATAAGTTAAGAAGCAAAAGGGCACCCTCGTCATTTACGGAAGTTTGAAGCTTGTTGATCAAGAAGTCAAAAATCCTTCCATTCAGAAACACTCGTTCGTTGCATCTTATCAAACCCTCTAAAACCTCTAGATTATTCCTTCTCCCTCTCTCTCTCTCTATCTAAAACCCTAACTTCCTATGAATCAATGTTTGTACAGGAACTTAACAGGCATAGTCTTTATTACGAGCTTAAATCTCTACCCAGAATCAATCGTCCTCCTTGAGAATCACACATCAGTTTGCTTCTATTCAATTTTTGATCAATCTAAGTAAAAGGTAAGTTGTATCACTCAATAAATTAATAGATTATTAACGCTTATATATATATATGTATGTATGTATGTATGAAATTAATAATAAATTTACTCGTCATGGACATTTTCTGTTTAACATTCTTGTGTTCTTGTTAATTTGATTTCATATTCTCTTGTGTTTTTTTTCGGTAATTTCATATTCTCTTTTGTTGTCCTGTTTCTAGATGAGAAATTCTGTGCACAATGTACTTCTAAACCCTAATTTCACTTTGTAATCGACACATAGATTGGTCGATTATTGTGATTAGTATTTGGTTTTTAGATCTATGATTTCCGTAGACACTAGATTTAGAACTTCACATGCATTTTTTTTATTTTTTATTCTCTTTATTTTATTTTATGCTGTTAAGAAGGGTTTAATGAAATTTTGAGACTCGTCAATCAATAATTGAATTTGCTGATCTTGTAAATTTAGCATTCGCTTGAGTATCGCTTGAATATCTTTTGGCAGTCTTATTTTGTTGAATCATAAATATATGATTTAAGGTAAGGATGATGATGATATAAATACATCACATTTGAATTTTGGCCTCGGCGAGAGGATAGCGTCCTATGCATAGAGTTTTCACTCATATTCTCAAATAAGCACCATATGTTGATGAGACCTGATGTTACCAGATGCATGATCCATCTGCATTGAATTATGAGAAAGTAAATAAGGTTCTTAATTATATGATTTGAAGTATATGAAATTCGTGCCTTGGAATTGGAACTAATTTTTTTTTTCAATTCCAATTTCCATGCTTCCGAAGATATCATAAATCTATGTTTGGGAATCAGCAGCGTCTTGGAATTGACCTCTGAATTTTTTTTTTGTTTAAACTTTGAACTAAATTTTCTCGGATTCTAATTTCAAGGTGCAGACTTGGTGCTCCCAAACATAACTAGTATTTTTAGATAGGTCAAATTTCTCAAAATCCCCAAAACTATTAAAAAGTAATCATAAAACCCCAACCAGTTTTAAAAACCCCCAACAATATAACAACGTTATCATTTTACCCCAACTCTGTCAATGAACCGTTAAAAGGTACGTGAAAATGACTAAATTATCCTTATGATATTCCATTTTATTTAAAAAATCAAAAAATCATGTTTTACAAATTACAATATTATCCTTTTGATTTAATCTAGTAGTGTAATTAACAATTGTAATTAATAATTAATTAACAATTAATTACAATTCAGCAGTATACACACACACACATATATATATATATCTATATATATATATATACACACACACACATATATATATCTCTATATATATACACGGCGGCTGCGAATCAGGGTACCACCGGCAGTATCGATGGCTTGTGAGTTGTGGATTGGAGGTGGCGGTGGCCGGATCTCAATGCCAAAATTGCGAACCCAGGATCAATGTGTCTGTGAAAGGGAATCGGTGATATTCGGCGATGCACGAAGTCGGTGAGCAATGGTATCAACACTCTTCGCCTTTTTCAGCCCCTTTTTGTTAGGAATTGGAATGGGGAAGAAGCATGAAAATCCGGCGGTGTCTCCGGCGGGTAACTGGTTTTTCTGGTCTTGGGTCTAAGAATGTGTTAAAATCGGGCGGTGTTTTCCGGTGAGGCGTAGACGACGGCGAGGGCTTGTAGGAGTAGCCGATTAGGGATTCGAGAGCAGGAAAGAAAGGCCACTGGTTGGTGTAGTTGCCATTCAATCTTGATACCTTTGATTGGTTGAGACTCAAATTCAGAAATCCCAGCGGCGCGTACACCTCCACCGGCGCCGGCGCCGAAACCCACGCCGTGTAGTTATTCTCTGCCATTATGAACTTCGGTATGGACGACGAGCGAATTAGCTTCCTCTCTCTATTTGGGTCCACCCCAAATCAAACGTTCAACGAAAGCCCGAGACTCACCTCCACATCTTCTTCCTCCACCTCCTGCAGAGAAACATGGTTCCCTCAGCCTCTGCCATTTATTACACAAATAAAGCTAAATTTGGTGAAATTTTGAAATACCCAGATGGGTGTTTTTGGTTAGGAAGTCAATTTCCAGCAGAATCTGGGAAAATAAGAAGGAAAATCTAGTAAAGTTGGAGATTTTGAACGAACAACACAAAAAATCTTATGAGTTCCACACGTTGCATTGAGTTGAAACAAAATTTCAAATACCCAGATGGTTGATTTTTGTTAAGAAGTCAATTTCCAGAATAATTTCTCAGGAAAATCTGGTAAAGTTGCAGATTTTGAATGAAGAACACAAAAAACTTACGAGTTTCCCATTTGCATTGAGTTGAAACAAAATTCAACAAAATCCCCATGAAGCTCAGAGGATGTAATTTCGGATTTTCCTACACTTTCTCGGGAAAAAAAATGGCCGGCGAAACAGAGAAAGGCATGATAGAGAAGAGGAAGAGAGAGACATTGGATGTGGTTTTGAGTTATTCAAGTTTCTCAAGAGTGGGAATTTGATCGCGGCTTGGATTGATTACAAGAATGATAAGAGGGCAATGGATGTGGTTTTGAGTTATTCAAATTTCAAAATGAAAGCTCTGCAAATGTGTGCCGCATTCAAATTACAATCAAGAACAAAATTATTCATTGGGTTTCTGTATGTTGTAGTATTTTAATTATAAATTGCCAACCAAAATCAAGAACTTCACTCTAGAAAACTAATAGATCGTAAATGCTGTAATTTTTTAATTATAAATTGCCATCCAAAATCAAGAAAATGGGATGAACTAGGGTTTCCTAAAACTATTTCAAGCATGGAGGAGAGAAGGGATGCTTGGGGGTATTTTCGGAATAACATATATAAATAAATATCACTTGTTTGGCACATGTGACAGCAGGAGTATTTTCGTTACAAAAGTCAATTTGGCAAAGCAATTGTTAACCACGCGCTAGTTAACGGCCTCAATTGACAAAATTGGGGTAAAATGATAACGTTGTTATATTATTGGAGGTTTTAAAAACTGATTGGGGTTTAATGATCACTTTTTAATAGTTTTGGGGGTTTTGAGAAATTTGCCCTTTTAGATATCCACTACTCTTGGTGTTTAACTTTCCTAAATCTAAATTCATATATATTTATATATATATACACATATATATTTCATTTATGAGAGCATTTTTTCAGCTGACCCTTTTACTGTTGGATTGAGAATGGATAAATCTGCTCTTGCACCAGAGCATAGGTGACCGAGCTGAGAAAAACAGCATTGCTGCATTTGGGAACAACAAAATTCTTAATTATACTGTATGTTGATATATAATTTTAAATGTATGCGATGGTGCTGCACTGCGACTTTTTTTTTTTTTCTCCGGTATGTACTGCACTGCTACTTCTTCACACACTGTTATTCTAATTACACACATACTTATAAAAGAGGTCACTTCTATTTGCATGATTATGGCGCCTTCAATTTGGTTTCTTTTTCTGTGGTTTGTACATAATTTTCTGACTCACAACCATTACCATGCTTCACTGTATGTTCTAACATGAACCCTTTTTTTTTTTTTTTTATATGTCAGATTCTTATATGTTTTTAATTCTACATCAAAATGTTGCTTCAAGCTAATCTCAGATGTGTTGGCCTCAAAGACATCTGCCATACAAAATTTCGTCCCCCATTGATAATGCATTGCATGTCTAATCTTAGCAGTCAAAGTTTGAAATCTGACCTTCCATTTTCGCTGCTCGGTCCACCAGAAATTTACACCCCAGCCCCAGTCCCAGATCCGGCCATCAGCAACCCCTTCATGGATTCAATGGTCTCCGGGTACAATAAAGGGCCACCACCAAAACCATATATGGGTTTGACAGAAAACCGCTCCCCAACTTTCCTATCTAGTGGAAATCCATGTCTAGATTTCTTCTTCCATGTGGTTCCTGATACACCCTCAGAAGCAGTAACCCGCCGGTTGCAGTTAGCCTGGGACCAAGACCCTCTGACTGCTCTCAAACTTGTATGCAACTTGAGAGGTGTTCGAGGCACCGGAAAAGGGGACAAAGAAGGATTCTACGCCGCGGCCTTGTGGCTTCATGGGAGTCATCCCAAAACTCTAGCACACAATGCCACTACCATAGCTGAATTTGGGTACTTCAAGGACTTGCCTGAAATTCTATACCGTCTGCTTGAAGGCCTTGACGCTCATGACGTGACAAAGCAAGAGAAAATGGAGAGAGAGAGCGTGATGCACAGTAAGGTCATGAAGAAGAAGTTCTACAGAGGTAAACAAGTATTATCAAGTGAGGAGAAAAGGATTGCAGCGGGCAAGAAAAGTGTGGAGAAGTACAATAGTGATCCAGTTTACCGATTCTTACATGATCAGATATCAAATGTCTTTGTAGAAAGATTAAAATCTGATTTACAGAATCTGCATTCAGGCAATAGGAGAAATCTCAGCTTTGCTGCAAAGTGGTGTCCCTCCCTTTATTCCTTTTATGATCGGTACACCCTTCTATGCGAGAGCATAGCAAAGAGACTATTCCCACGAGACCTTTATCCAGAATACCAAGGCGTAGAAGATGCTCATTATGCATATAGAGTCCGAGATCGTCTACGTAAAGAAGTGATTGTGCCATTACGCAAAGCACTGAAGGTACCTGAGGTTTACATGAGTGCCCACCAATGGGGAATGCTTCCTTACAGCAGAGTAACTTCTGTCGCCATGCAAAACTACACAAACACGTTCATGAGACGCGATAGAGAGCGGTTTGAGGAGTATCTGGAGAGTGTCAAGCGTGGGGACAGGAAGATCACCGCTGGGGCATTGCTCCCTCACCAGATCATAGCATCAGCACGCCGCGGAGGAGATGGCGCCAAAGTTGCAGAACTGCAATGGCAGAGAATAGTGGAAGATCTGTCCGCGAAAGGGAAGCTAAAAAACTGCCTTGCCATATGTGATGTGTCAGGGAGCATGGAATACAGATTTGATGGGAGCATGAAAAGTTCCCCATTGGATGTAAGTGTGGCACTTGGACTATTAGTTTCTGATTTAAGTGAAGAACCCTGGAAGGGAAAGCTCATTACTTTCAGCTTCAATCCTCAGCTTCAGATGATTAGGGGAGAAAGTCTTCGATCAAAGGTTAATTCGATAGATCGTCTGGATTGGGAAATGAATACGGATTTTCAAAAGGTTTTTGATAAAATCTTGAAAGTGGCAAAAGAAGGAAAACTTAGTGAGGAACAGATGGTAAAAAGGCTATTTGTGTTCAGTGATATGGAGTTTGACCAGGCGTCTTCGAATCCGTGGGAGACAGACTATGAAGCAATATGCCGGAAGTTTGAGGAGAGTGGGTATGGGTCGTGTGTGCCAGAGATAGTATTTTGGAACCTAAGAGACTCCAGAGCCACTCCAGTGTCGAGCCATCAGAAAGGGGTGGCACTTGTGAGCGGTTTCTCAAAGAATCTACTCAAAGTGTTCTTGGAGGAAGGTGGGATTTTGAACCCTGAGCACACCATGGAATTGGCCATTGCAGGGGATGAGTACAACAAGCTTGTCGTTGTTGATTGATGCATGTTCTTCTATGGATTCATTCTTAGCACAGTGAATATATACACTATAATAAGATGAATTGCCAATTCATTATGGTTTGTCCTAACCTCTCGAGTACGTTTTGTTGGTAAACCATACCCTATTTTGTCGGAATTAGAGTTTCTCTGGCTTGTGCTCCATGTGTATCCTGCAATTTATTTAAAAACAGAGCTACATCCATGATTTTGTCGGAATTAGAGTTTTGCTGAAGAATGGGGATATCTTCTCTGGCTTGTGCTCCATATGTATCCTGCAATTTATTTAAAAACACAGCAACATCCTGCATCAAGCTTGATTGAGTGGATGAGAATATCTATAAAATAATAATAATAATAATAAGAAAGACAAGATAAGATCTATTAGGTGAAGTACGGGATACAGGGGATTGGAAAAATCTGAATCCTTTACCTATCGGTTATCCTAAGAATTGGAGTTTTTCTTAAATAATCTAATATTAGATAAAATTTTAATTTATCGGCATTAATTCATACATTTAAATGATCATTAACTAATACATTCTTAAGTCCTTTAAATGATAATTAACTAATTAAATTAACTAATACATTATATATATATATATATATATATATATATATATATATATCTCACGAAATTTTTAACACTCCAATCGGTGATTCAATTCGTAAGCTACGTAATTTTTTTTTTTTAATCCTCCATCAGTCCATGAGTGTAGCGATCCTATCTGCACGGATCGGATCAAATCGGATTCACGGATTATTTGTCCATCCCTTGCATAAAACAAGCATCATATTCATCACTTAATAAAATTTTAACCTTTTTTTTAACATTTATATTATTTTTGAAAAAATTGTATTTTAATGTTCAAACTTATTAAAAATGTGTTATGAAGTGTCTATCAGTATACGTGTTAGAAATTAAAAAATATATCATAAAATTATGGATACGTTTAATAAGTAAATACCTAAGAAGTCTTAGATACATATTAGAAATTAAAAAAATGTATCATATGGATACGTTTAAAAAGGACACACATCCGCGAGTATTGAAGTATCCGTGTTGCACATATATTCATATATTGTTTGGACATGAATATGATCGGACATATATTATTCGGACACAGATATGAAATATGTGGGACATTGTTCGGACACAGATATGAAATATGTGGGACATTGTTCGGACACAGATATGAAATATGTGGGACATGGGTATGGGATATGTGTACGAAGGCTGGACATACAGATAAAAATCATATCCAATCAATTTATTTATTTATTTTTGCACCCAATCATTTAGTTATATTATATTATAGATTTCAAATGAGTTAAATGTCTATATTGAACACTATATTACATAAAAAAAAATTACTTTGTTCTAGAAAATTAAATAAAATGAATATTTAGCACTGTTCATGTTCCATTCTTTTTAGAAATTTAACACGTCCGATTACATACCCGTATTCCACCAACATTACTAAGGTAAGGTAACATAGCCGTCAACGACCTTGCAGTGGTTGCATAGCCCCTCAACGACCTTGCAGTGATATTTTGCATTATGCTTGATTAAAATTCACGCACTAGAATTCTAAATGTTATTTTTATTTTAATTTCGGTGGCATGAAATTGAAATCTTAGAATTGGAATTTAAGAAAAATAATTAAAAATTTGAACTAAAATTTTCTCAAATTTCAATTACAATTTCAATTTCAAAACTCTAATTTAATGCACGTAACAACACGCGCTTTGGTCACTTTACGGTCTTCTGTGTATTGCATCCCACTTGATGGGCTTTGGTCACTTTACGGTCTTCATAATCTGATCACATTGAAACCCAATCCAATGCCATCTAAAGTAGGGCAATTCTCTTCTACGAGACAAACTTTGCCTTTGCCTATTAATTATACTATTTCATTTACCTTTAAAATGTTCATTCATTTATATATTATCAAATACATTATATAAAAAATTATATTAATTACAAAAATTAGCAATAATAAAATTTAATAAATTAATATAATCATATTTCAGTGTTATATATATAATATAAAATATATAATATACAGACGTTCTATATATTACTGGACATGCTCTAACTCTTCAAGTAATTTTGGTTTTTTACACTTCTTGTAACTTAGCTATTTGAGGGGAAACAAACTAGAACTATTTTCATTCAATTGGTCATCGTATATATTCTCGAGCAAAACGAGTTCCTTAAGGAAGTTTCTTGTTGAAGAAGGAAAAAAAAAATTTATTCCATTGAAGAAATACTCGTTCGCTAAAATCTTATCAAACCCTTGTAAAACCTTTCCCCTCTGCCTAAAACTAGAAACTCCTAAGAGCAGCCGCAGCGGGCTAGCTAAAGCCCGCTTTTGGCGATATGGGAGCCCAAAGCCGCAGCAGCGGCTTAGCTGAAAAGGGCAAGGCCTACTTTGCCTCGCGAGCAAGCTCGCGGAATACTGCTAGCAGGCCCGCAATCGTTATATATATATATATATATATTCTATTCTATTGCAAAACGGCGCCGTTTTCAATTGCTTTTTTTGTTTTATTCTCAAACGCTCCTAGAACAGTGGCTGAACAATGCCGTAAGGCACTGTTTGGCAGATTTTTTTTTTTTTTTGAAAAAACCTAAAAATAGGTTATTTTGAGCTCTTTTTTTAAAAAATAAAATAAAATAAAATTCATTAAATAAAAAATATATTGTTTAAGCACTGTTTGTCCAAAAAAATATTTATTTGGGCCAAAAATAAATTAAAAAACCTTTTTTTTCCCCCTTAAAATTTGCCTTTATGTTTTATTTTTTTGCATTAAATTTTAAATGTGTACCACAAACAATGCATTTGGCTGTTAAGGCACTATTTGTGTAATACCCCTAGTTTTCAAAAGGATAAAAAGGAAATTTAATTTTGTTTTTATAGCATTTTGATTTAATTATGTGACTTATGTGGTTTATTTGCTTAGTTGATTTAGTGTGACTTTATTTTAAATTAATTGGTTAATTGTTATTATGTATTTATTTTATTTAATTGGTTAATTGTAATTATTTGTTGGTTGGTTTTATTTAATTGTTTAATTGTGATTAAATTTACTTCTTTGATTTATTGGTTTTAATTGACGTGTCTTTGGTATATTATATTTGGTAGCTTTTATATGTTGTTTGTGTCGTAGGGTTTTATTGTTTTTTTTGTATAATTAGGTCGCCGACTTATATTAGGGTTTAATTAAAGCCTATAGAGACACGGATATAATTAGACTTAAGATTGGGATGCCTATATATATATCCTGATACGTCTGCTAGGGTTAGGAAGAACTCTATTCACGTGATAATTAAGGTTTTGAGAGGAAACCGAAGAGAGGTCTTGAGAGGAAAACTAGAGAGAAGCTTAAGGGGAAACAGATAGGGTTTTGATGATAGCTTGTGAGGCTAACGAATAATGAAGGGGTTGGTTCTGGATAGAATCAAGAAGTCACAAAGGAGGGGAACAATGGTCAGAGGAGGATAACAATGTTGGGGTTGCCAGAATTTAGAGACCCGGCGTTGAAAGGTTTCAAACCGAAGCCTAAAGGCAAGTTTCATTCTATCTCCTTCCTGTAAACTTGTGTTCTGTGCATTCTCTATAGTCTCCAGGAATATAATTTAATTATTAAAATGGATGTTTATGCGTGATAGAGTCTCTGTACAATTTTAAACCCCTGTTCGTTTTTGAAACTATGAACTGTTGTGTTTTTGTTTTAAATTTTTGTCAATATTTTCACAAGGGAATTTGAGGAGTTTCTAGGATTGAATGAACCTGAATTGAACCTGAATTGAACCCTAAGAATGTAAGAAAAATTCTAGAACGAAGGGTTGAACTTCGCTAAACGCGAAAAAGACAAACGGAGAAAACATAAACTGTTGCGATCATGGTTTAAGTTTTTGCTAAGTAATTCATGCTGGAATTAAATACGTTTCTATGCTTGTTAGGACTTAATTTGAACCTTAAAAATCTTTAATAAAGTTGGGACAGAGGATTGAGACTTGGTCGGACGCGAAGAAAGTAACATAGAGGAAGCAGAGAAGGAAAAACGAAGGCTGGAGAAGTGGAGGCGGCTCCACCCTTCAATGGAGGCGGCTCCATTGAAGTGGAGCCGGCTCCACAAAGTGTTGAGGCGGCTCCAATATGGGTGGAGCCGGCTCAACTTAAAATTGGAGGCGACTCCAATTTTGGTAAGTGCCCAGAACGTGTTTTTTTGGTGGTTTTTGGACTGCAGGGGCTATAATGCAATACTGAAGCTTAGTTAGGGGTTTTAAAATATTATATATAACATATTTAAAGACCCAGGAGTAATGGTTTAGGCTGTGGGTAAGGGAGATCATGAATTATAAACATAATTATGCATGGTGTTAAGGAAGGAGAAATATTTAAATTTCTAGTTATTTAAGCTAAATGAATGGACTGAAAGGGAAGTTGTTCTTGGGATTTTATATCAATGACCTATATAATCTAATCAGGTTCTAGGAACGATGGTTTCTGCTGTGGTTATAGATATCATGAACTTTAGATAAAAGTTACATGATGTCAGGAGTTGAGGGAATTTTAATCACTGGTTTTGTTTTAATCCAATTTATATGGATATGTATAAAATACTTTTGGGGGTTTTACATAATGTGTAGTTTAGACTTCTGAGTGTCATTATATCCGGCACAGGATTTACAATTGAGAATTAAAGGGACGTCATGAGATTTGAAGATTAATTTACATGCCGTCAAGGATTGAGAAGGATTTAAATGCTAGTCTTCGTTTTAGCAATGTAAATGAACTAGTATGGAAGTACTGGTTGGGAATTTTTTTATTATAATATGCTCAGGTTAAAATTATGAATATTATTATGTCATGCCATGGATGTTAAATGAGGAACTGCTAAAATTACTGTTCATTTAATTATGTGGATATGGATGATTTAAATTGTTGATTATGTTTTAGCAATTTAAATGGAAGTTTTATGGATATAATCATATACTGGCTGCATGATGGGATCTTAATAATATCTGTTTTCTATTATGCTGGTTTCTGGATATATTTGATGTTCATTCGAATGTGTATCATCTGTGGATCATATGCATGTATGTACCGGTATGGGACGGTGACATACGGAGGGACGGATTAGATCAAAACGTTAATTCCAACCCAATCATACATACAGAATGGATTAACTAAAACAGTTAACTCCTACATGGATGCATATCCTGTTAACTAAAATAGTTGAACGACATAACGG